CTGCAGGCTGGGCTGAATTTTGTTAGACACTATAGGAGTTCCAATGGTGTAACAGCCCAAGGGAGGCCCCAGGGCCCACAGTGGATTCCTCAGTGGCCAGTATCCATTGCAAAGCTGTTCCCTGCTCCACAATCACCCATCTCACAGCTGTGTGTCCCAAGAAGTGACTTGTTTCCCTGGCTTTGACCTGCCAACCACGCATGCTCGAAAGAGAACACACAGTGTACAACAATGATATAAAACAAAGGGCAGGAGATTCGAAGGAAGGCGGCTTCCTCTGGAGTTCCTTCCTGTTCAGGTGCCAGCCCTGTGACTGTGACTGAGTCCTAGAAACTTTCTACATCTCGGCCTCTTCATACACAATCTACTGAATAATCCATACATTCCATAAAATAAAGATTAAAAATCAAGGAATGTGGGTGGAGTTCTATGATAGTATACTTGCCTGGCAAGTGCAAGGCCTTGGGTTTAATCCCCAACACACACACACACACACACACACACAATTAAATTCAAAATACAAGAGAAAAGTCCCACAGCTACTTTAAAGATCTAGAAAACAAGGTTACCCTGTGAATCTAGGGAAATAACATTGCCCTGTGGAAAACCTGAATAAACTATAAAACACTGCCCACATACTCATTTCTGTAATTGTTGTATACGTAGTGTAGGTATTTTAATTATCTATTGCTGTGCAACAAAACACCCCAACTCTTAGAAGTGTAAACTAACATTTAGTACCTTTCTTGGTTCTGTGGGTTGGAAATCTAGTGGTTCTGTTTTTGCTGATTACAGTCAGTCATGTGGCTTCAGGTACCTGAGGATTTGGAAGTTGGTGCCAGCTACCATTTATTTGCTTCCTTCATGAGACATGTATCCTCTGGTGGACTAGACTAGATTTCTTCAGAATGTGGACTCTCAGAGGTCCAAGAGTGAAAGCAGAAGCTCCAAGGTATCTTAAGGTCTAGCTTCAGAAGTCACCTAGCATCACTCTGTCACATTCTCATGATCAAAGAACTCACAAGGCCAGCTCAGGTCCAAAGAGGGGAAGGGAAAATATGCCCTACTTTTTGATGGACAGTTTGAAAATAATGTACCACATGTGAATATTTTTTATTTTGTTTTTTATTTTTTTAATCATAGTCTAAACTGTTCTCTGAGACCAGGACTAGACAGGCAAGTCAGGAAAAATTAAAATGTAAGCCCCAATATTTTTTTCTTTTTTTTTTTTGGTAGTACAGGGGATTGAACTCATGGGTGCTATTCCATTGAGCTGTATCCCCAGCCTTTTTTTAGCTTTTATTTTGAGACAGGGTCTCACTATGTTGCCGAGTGTGGTCTCAAACCCATGATCCTCCTGCCTCAATCTCCTAAGCAGCTGGGATTACAGACTTGTGTGACAGTGCCCAGACAAGCATTTGAAGTTTCATCTTCATATTTTTTAGACCTACAAATACCTGGACTACAAGATTTCTCAACCATTCCTTCCAGAAATTCCAGAGTCCTGGGTTAGCACTATTTTTTCATCTCTTGCCTAGGAATTTTTAATGTGGTATAAATTACAAAGAACTCTTAGAACATTGGTCTAATCCCTAAAAAAAAAATGTTTCCATTATTGACATTACCAAAAAACTAATGTGAAAACTGTTCAAAGGCCTTGAACTTCCCCACACCTGAAGTTTCACCCAAAAAAATAAAATAAATAATGAAGAATTTTCAAGTGAAATACTGAAAATTTACTTCCTCTCTGATCATCATCTGCAAAAGGGTCCTTGACTTGCTCATAAAATAGCAATGGCTGAGCTGATTTTCTCTGGGTTCGGAGTGTGGTATCTGCCCCTCAGTCTCTTCCCTCCACCACTGAAAACTTCCCACACTCTTCACTACCTTCCCAGGCACACACATGGTGGACAAAGACCTCCAAACTGAAGTCAGATTTCCTTGCAAACCCTTTCCTTTCAGCACTAACCTCTGACACTTCAAAACCTCAGAAACCTGGTGTTATGTGTGAACATTCTTGACCATTTCCTTCTACCTCCCAGCTCTCTTATTTCTGTCTTCTACCCCTGGCTGTAGGTGATCTAATAAAGTAATGGTGATTAGGAAGTCCTTGGATGATAATAGCTTCAGGAAGCTACCTGCTCCAAAGGCATTAGCATGTTTATTATTAGCTTCCTTTAAAATGATAATTCAAAGAAAGATAGGTTTAGAGATGGGGACACCATTGCAAGAGGGATAAGAGATGTTGGAGGAATACACTTTGACTTTGACCCTCAGAGTAAAACAAGGGATGTATGATCTTCCTTTCCTACCCTTCCTTCCCCCTTCCTTCCTTCCTTCCTTTCTTTTTTGTTTTTCTTTCTTCTTTTTTTTTAATTTCACAAATGGGGTGTAGTTTCTATGTAAGAAAAGCATCTTGCATGAGCAGAAAAAATGTTTTGTAAAAGCAAAGAAACTTCCTCTTAATATTGATTTTCGTTAACCACTGTTATGAAGAAAACTTGCTAACTTGAATGCATCAGATAAAAGGTCACTTATTTCAGACTCCAGGCCACACAATATAAGTTTCTGGATCTTTTGCCATGTGACATGTTAGCTCTCCAGGAGAGAAGCTGAAGATTCAAAGAGCTAGCCAGCCTTATCTGCAAAGGAAGTCTAGACTGTGACTTGGGGGTGCCAAATCGGTTCCCTCATCTAAGACTTCCCCTAACTACTGCATGTCTGAAGACCCGAAACCTCTACTGTACAAGACTCATTCCCTTGATTTGTTGTTGTTGTAGTTGTTGTTGTTGTTGGTACTGAGTATTGAAACAAGAGGCGCTTTACCGCCCCTTTTTATTTATTATTTTGAGATGGTGTTGACACAGGGTCTTACTAAGTGGCTCAGGGAATTGCTAAATTGCTGAGCTTTACCTCAAATTTGCAATTCTCTTGCCTCAGCCTCCTATGTGGCTGGGATTACAGCCATGTGCCACCATACCAGGCTCCCTTAAACTTCGAATTTCACTGTTTTTCTATTAATATGCTAAACTCTGACTGGCACAGATGAAACAATTTCTGGCCCACACCATCACCAGGCCAGATTCTAACCAAACCCTCTGCTGAGAGGAGCTCTATCTCAACATTAAACAGGGATGAGAGGTGGGAGGGAAAGGGAGAGAGAAGGGAAATTGCATGGAAATGGAAGGAGACCCTCAGAGTTATACAAAAGTACATACAAGAGGAAGTGAGGGGAAAGGGAAAAATAATACAAGGGGGACAAATGAATGTCAGTAGAGGGGGCAGAGAGAGAAGAGGGGAGGGGAGGGGAGGGGGGGATAGTAGAGGATAGGAAAGGCAGCAGAACACAACAGACACTAGTATGGCAATATGTAAATCAATGGATGTGTAACTGATGTGATTCTGCAATCTGTATATGGGGTAAAAATGGGAGCTCATAACCCACTTGAATCAAAGTGTGAAATATGATATATCAAGAACTATGTAATGTTTTGAACAACCAACAATAAAAAATTAAAAAAAAAAGAAATATATGACGGGGGAACTCATAGAGATTGAACAAACTTCCAGTGACCTGTGATCCCTGAAAATGCATGCAAAACATTAGCTTCCATTGCAGATTCCTCCTTCCTGTCCCTGTGGGGTGTGATAGAAATTCAAATTCACACAGAAGCATTCTTCCAGAAAAATGGGCAGAGCTTTCATCCTGATCAGATCTCTGATACAAAAAGATCTCTAATGATAAAAAGATGGTGGAAGAGATGAGGGACCAAAAGTGGCTCTGAGTGGCTGGGGGTAGAGGGAGGGGACCAAGTCTAAAAAGAGAGTCAAAGAGCCCTTGAGAGCAACTGCACTGTGGTCAAAACATGGCCACGCTCAGACAGGATCGTAATCCAGACTGATGCTCAGCGATATAGTTCAGATCCTGTTCCCACCATTTTGGAGGCTCCTCTATCCTACACCCAAAGCTCCCAGCTCAGAGATACTCCTGTTCTGGGGATACCTCTGAACTTGGCAGTGACCTGTTTCCTCATGACTTGAACTGGGGTAGGCACATAGGTAGGAAAAATGACTTTGGTTCTCAGCTGCTCATTCTTCCCCTGGTGGAAGCATCTGGGTCCAACAACCTTTTTCTAAATGGTACAGGATAAGGGGGGAGCAGGGGTGCAGGCCAGGGGAACCCCTAAACACAGTTGTCTGGCAGCTCAGCTATAGCAGGGAGGGGAGAAGCAGAAGCTAGGCAGGCTGAAGACCAGCCTCTTCCACAGGAATAGAAGCAATAAAGCCACACCAATATTTCTTTGCTTGCTAACCGTTTACTATGTCCTCCAGACAAGCACCAAGAGTAACCTTTAGGGGCGACTGAAATTCATCCAACACAAGTAACTTTGCATGGACCTGTGTAGGCAGAAGTGGCACATGCAGCACATCCCAGTGCCTCAACCCACCCCTCCCAGCACAAACGAACACATATAAATTCAGTATCAAGGTGGACCAAAGAAAAGGAAAAGGAAAAATGCTAGTGAACCCATTGCATAACATTCATCATATCTTCAAAAGTAATATATCTTCCCATTTTGGAAGATATCGAAAGGTAGGAAGAAGGAAGGGAAGTACACATATTCCTACTACTGGAGGTACCCTATAGCATATTTTTCTCCTGATAGTATACAAATTTTGTACATACTTCATGCTAACTGCTCCATACTATTCCATTTACTTAGTTGTAAGAACAGATCTTAGAAGGATGCTCAGAGATGATAAAACAGGCAGGTCAGTGTTTCTTGCAGAGTGTTCATGTGCCCTACAATTTACCCCATCCACGCATATTTATGTATTAATTGGTGCTTCTGTTAATTGCATTATGTGGTCAACCAAGCTTGAGAAATTCTCAGTTTGAAAAAAATAAGTGTCTTTACCAATGAGTCTTTTATTTTTGTAGAAATCATTTATTTTTTTATTTGTATTTTGATTTTATTATTTTTTAAATACATGACAACAGTGGATTGCATTACAATCCTTATTACACATATAGAGCACAATTTTTTGTGTCTCTGTATAGAAAGTATGTTCACATCAATTTATGCCATTATACATGGACTTTTTTTTTTGCTTTACAATTCTTAATACACATATGAATCTTTAAGGTACAGTATGTGTCCCTAAAAACACAGAGGCACTGGAGGATTTCTGAAGTACAGTTTGACTGTAGAACCCTTCTCACACAGCATTTCATTTGGCTTCTGTTTTACCAATATTTTAGAAAATGCTTAAATAAAAAATTTTAAATAAAACAAATTCTATCTTCAGTTCTATCTCTGCCACTTACTATTTGACCTTAGCTATCCATTGCTTTGTAGCAAATTATCTAGACACTTAGTTACCTATTTATTATCTCAGTTTCTTCATAGACCACCAATCCCAGATGGTTTAGCTGGAGGCTTGGGTCTAGGTCAGGGTTTCTTTAACAAAGTTGCATTCCAGGTATTGGTTAGAGTCACAGACATCTTAAGGCTTGACTGGAGAAGAAGCTGCTTTCACACTCACTCCTAGGGTCACTGGCAAGATTTAATTCCTTTGGGATTGCTAGGATGGAATCCTCGGTTTCTCAGTGGGTGCAAGTTGTAAACCCCTCAGGTCTTCACTGTGTGGGCCTCTGTAGAATGTTAATCTTAGCAAGAACAATTAGAAGAGCCAGAGAGAAAGTGCACAGTAAGAGGGAAGTCAGTGCAATTACAACCTAATCTCAGAGTGGCTCCCATTATATTTACCATGTTCTATTAGTTAAAAGCAAGTCACCAGGCTCAGCCCAGGGGAGGAGACTACAGAGGGACATGACTGCCTAGAGGCAGGGATCACTGGAGGCTGTTAAGAAGTAGCTCATCACAACTATAAATAAAGACCCCAGGATCTTCAGCCAAGACAACCTTAGAAGATTTACTGACTTTAGTATTGAAAGATAAGAGAATAGCCATCCTGGAGGATTGTGTTTTCCCAGATAAAATTGCACCACATCAGAAAGTGCCCATCTCTTGGTAGGGATATTTTTTTTATTCCAGTACTGGGGATTGAACAAAAATAACACCTCACACACACCTAGGCAAGTGCTCTGTCACAGAGCTACATCCCCAGTCTTTTGAGACCTGGTCTATGCCCAGGCTGACCTTGAACTTTTGATTTCCACCATGTCCAGTTTAAGTAGGGACTTCTAAATCTCAGTGTGGTGCTTTTTCCCCTACAGCAACTGCCACAGTGTCCACATCTGAAAAATGGATGATTCTGGGCTGCCTTCCCCTCTGCAGAGATGTGTGAGGAAACAAGGCAATCAAAGAAGTGTAAATGCTTTAAAAGGCATAAAATGTTAGCTATGAAAATCTAGGTTCCTATCCTTATTATTCCTGTGAATAATACTTGTGCTTGAGACCAAATCTGTGAGATAAAATTTTATTTTACTCCTCTTTTTTCTTTCTTTGATGGTGCTCTTACTAAGTTTAGGGAGACACCCTTCCTGTTGAGGGGTCTAGAGAGCCAGACATCCTGTCTTTTGCCTCTTCCTTTGCAGCGTGAGTAGTAAGTCTTTTGGTTCCCACTGCATCACACCAGTGCTAATGACCTTGAATTGAACCATGTGGTGGCAATGCCCACGCACCATTAAAAAGTGATGCTTCCTTCTGACATTGGCTCCATCCAAAAAGAATGGATCTGACATACTGCAGAGATCCAAACATGTGCCCTGTAACCAATCTGAATCCTACCTATCACATAAGACAAGGAAGAGGCCACCCCAGCTGCAGAGTCCTGATGTTCCTCCCACCACTGGGATGTTGTCATAGGCACCTGGAACCTCACCTCACTTAAATCTAGAGCTACCATTTGTTGAGGAACTACCATGTGCTGGTTATATATATATATACACACACATATTTTATTTGATGTTTGAACACACACGCAAGTGTATAGATGAGATCAATGAGACGAGAGTGGGGTAAGTCCCATGGCTAACTTCATAATCAATAGCAGATCCAGAAATCAGCCCAAGGTCTAACTCCAAAATCCAAGTTTGTGTTCTTCCCCATGTCGCCCATAGATTTCCAGATTCTTGACTGTATTCTCCAGCGGATCCAAGGCAGTTACAGAAAGATTTGCCTTACCTATAAAGTAAGACAAATATAACCTCAGTGACCAGCACAGTGTTGGAATTAGGACCAGTTCATTATTAATTAATGCATATTGCCCTTTATATGCTTTTTATGCAAAAAAAAAAAAAAACTGCACATTTTATGGCCTTAGAAAGCCACATTTTGCTATATAGACCTGACAGCAACTAAGTGAAGCACTTCAGTGGATTACAGATGTGTTCTTTTTTTTTTTTTCTCCTTCTGTCACTTCTTGAGCATCTGTCAGTGATCCCAGGAGGCAAAATCAGTGATGGAATGTGCAAAAGATTATTTTTTGCCAGAGATTAAGCACCTAATCCCAGTTATCCCCAAAATGCCTGCCAGGAAATGGCTTCTGTGTTAGTCGGCTTTTTCACTGCTAGGACCAAAAGATCTGACGAAAACAATTTTAGAGGAGGAAAAGTTCATTTGGGGCTTACAGTTGCAGAGATTTCAGTCCTTTGAAAGCCAACTCCATTGCTCTGGGCCCAGGTGAGGTAGAACTTCATGAAGGAAGGGTGTGAAGGGGAAAAGCAGCTCAGAACATGACAATCCGGAAGCAGAAAGAGATTCCACTTACCAGGAAAAAAAATATATACAATAAACACATACTCCCAATGACCCAACTCCTCCAGTCACACCCTACCTGCCCACTGTTACCACCCTGTTAACCTATTCAACTGTATTAATGCACTGATTAGGTTAAGGCTCAAATAAGACAATCATTTCATCTCTAAGCTGTCTTGCATTGTCTAACACACGAGCTTTTGGGGGACAACCCATATCTAAACCATAACAGATTCATGTCACACAATTACTGAAGCAAGAAGGAGGTGTGCCTCCCAATGCTGTTCTTTGCATGCAGAGGATGGTGCCATTCCAAGGACCCTCCATCAATTTATTCTAAGTCATCCCCCTCAAACTTTCACAAAGGTTACTTGTTCTTTTACTTTCCTTCCTGGATCCAGATTACTCACACATGTGAAGACAGAAGAGGAAGTCAGGAACTTCTGGATTGTCCTTACAATTTTTTCCTGTTGCACATTGCTTAAAAACATGTGTTCTTCTAAGAGTGGGACAAAATACGTTTATGGTCCCCCTGAGGCTACTCATATTCTAACCTCATCTCAGCGTTAAATATGAGCCTTGTTCAATTGCATATACAATTAAAGTGTTTGTTTATAAAGTTTTCTATCACAAGTCACAATATAATAATCAGGTATTATTCTGTCAGTTCACATTGCCAAAGAAAGTCTTCTTGATGTTTTCCTGGATTTCTCTCACATTCGTTCACCTCATCTGTAACTTCCTGGCTCCTCACGCTTGTTCTCATCCTTCCTGAGGTAATTGAGAACAGGAATCTCTCTGTCACATTAGTTCTTCACTCGTTTTGCCAAATGCTCATTTCACTCATTTATTGGACTCGTGTATGTCCCTAGAGTTTATGATAATCCAGAGAGTGGCTGAATTCCAATTAAGTATTTCCTTTGCCACTAAATTCATCTCTCTATTACTGATGAAGTCTTAACAGTACTCTTTTAAGCCAGAAAATATAACATTTATCTCACAGCTGAGGTGCAAATAGGATATTCCTCAAAATATCTTGCCCTTTATCCAGGAGCTATAAAATACAAAAAGAAAAAAGAAAAAAAAAAGTATTCTGGATAACTTAATGTCAGCCTCCTAGCTCCAGCTGTGCTGTCTACACTTAGGCTAACAACCATCATCTGTACAGTTAAAGCCCAGGAAAAGATTTACTGAATGCACATAAGGTTGTAATAATACTTTAATTCTCTTTGTGTAAATTTTCAAGAGTATTCAGTCATGTGGGGTAAGATGTGAAAAGAGATTTTACATTAGTCAACATCAACATTAAAAAATGCTCACACTTTCAAAATTACCCAAATTTATGGAAAATAGAAGTCAAATCACACAAACTTTGAGAGCACAGACCATCAGAAGCCAAGATCAAAATCTGACACAGCAAAGGTGCCAGCCTCTGGGGTCCTCCTGGTGCCCAAAGGCTACAGGTTCTTTGCTCTGAGACAGCTCCGCCCTTCCTTTAGCATCCTCGTCTCTTATGTCACTCCACATCTTCACATCTGTGTCCAGCAGCAGGTTCTAGGGTGTCTGCGGCATGGTGCCCCTGGACCACTGAACCTTCATCATGTAAGTCATGTTTCTCCCCGGGGCGGCATTCTTCCCACTGGACTCTGATCAAAGAGCATGTTCAAGTCGTTGCTGAACATCTTTATATTCAAAGCATGCCTGAATATACACAATTTGCTTTTAAATTGCAAGAATGTGAAGGAAATAAAGTTTTAGTAAGTTAAAAGCTGTGAAGAAAAAGAAAAGTAAGCAACTGTTTTTATTTTCATGTTGGTCTAGATTTAAAGCAACTTGGTTAGTTTAGGCATGTAAAATTGATAATTTAACATTTAAAAGGCTTATAAAATTCTGGGTTTGGATATATTAAATGACATAAAGCCTCCCCAGATAGTTTTAGAAAAATGAAACTAGTTTAAAAAGAGAATGGAGAATACTGAGTATTAAAAATAAAGAGTAGACAACTAAATATTCTGTTATTGGGTAACATTTATAATTTCATGTTTTACTTCTAGATCATCCTCTCTCTATAAACAATAATTTGCTGGATCCTAGATAAGAAAATTTAACATAAAACTATTTCAGTAAAACATCTTCTTTTGTACTCAGTATGTTATGGAGTTTCACATTTTGGGGGTAGGAGGAACTAATAACAATTCATACAGCAAATAAGGGATGATTAAAAAAATTGATCCATGGCACTGAGTTCTGATCTTCAGTTTTACTATTTATTTACTGTATTTAAAAAGAAAGTCTATCAAACAGTCTAAGTGACAGTTTCTCATCTGAAAAAGAATTATTAGTACCTTTTTTTCTTTTATTTTTCCTTTTTTTTTTTACCATATTGGGGATTGAACCCAGAGTCTCACACAATTTAAATTGTCCCAGATTTGGCCAGTGGGAATCCTTTATGTTGGTTCTCATGTCCTTTTGATATGTCATCATTGATTATTGAGCATTTTAAGCTTATTTTATATTCTCCTTCTCCTATCCTGGAATATGCCATTTTTCAAAGGATTTCTCATTGCCATTGGTCAGGAATGGTACTAGATATAAAGTCTAGGTCTAGATAGAATTATTGCTACTTACAGCTTTTTGATTATTTTATCTCATCTGAAACTATTATTTTTTAAAATATTTATTCTACCTTCATTTAGTCTTATCATTAACATTTCAATTCTTTCCATTCAATGTTCCTTTTTCTATTCCTATCTTGCCTTCTTTGAATTAATCATATTTTATCCCATGTATTCTCTTATTTTGTTCTTAATTTATTCTTTTGTCATTATTTTAATAATTATCCTAAGGATTATAATATGTACCTTCCCCTGACTAGTATATAGTATAATAAACCTTGTAAAACTTTAATGGATAATTCTGTCTTCTGCATTACTCTTCTCATGAATTTTCTGGATACATATGTTTTAAACTTCAGAAGATGTTCTTCTTATTTTGCATAGTAAATGTTTAGTTAGATTTACCTACATACTTACCCTTTCTAGTGTACTTTATTTCTCCTTACAAGCATTTTCCTTCTATGTGAAAAACTCCCCATAGTATTTCTTTTAGTACAGGTCTGCTGGCAATAAATTATCTCAGATTTTGTTTGCCTAAAAGGATTTTTATTTCACATTTATTTTTGAAGATTTTTTTGATAGAAATAGAATTCCAGGATGAGAATTCTTTTCTTTCAGGTGTCATTTCACTGGTTTTCTGAAGTCTATTCTCTGTCCTTTAGTTAGTACGTTGAAGGTAGTAGCTGTGTTGGATCTCTACCTGCATTGAAATTTTCCACTGATAGTTAGTTTTCTGCAGTTTTACAGTTATGAACCAACAACTTTGAGCTGATTGTGTCCCCAATCTCAGAATGTGGCTGCCTTTGAAATTATGGTGGTTACAAGGGTAATCAAATCAAAAAATGGCTATTGAGGTCTTCATCCAATACTAGTGTTCTATAAAAAGGGGGATGTTAAGACACAGAGGCAGTCACTCAGGATGCCCATGTTATGATGCAGGCTGCAAGAGAGAGTGAGTGTACCAGAAGGAGCTTGTTTTTATAACAAAATAACCCGTTGATCCATGGGTCGTCCCAAAGGACTTACTTCCCAGTATGATTAACATGGGACTTGGAAGATTAAATGTAGCACATGTAGCACGTGAACTCTGAGAGACAAACTTCCATGCAGTAAGGATCCATTAGCCCTTTTTCTTGCGTACTGAATTAGTCAGTGCACCATCAGCACAAGGCATCTATTTTACTCGGGGACTGTAGCACTGTGGAATGCAGAACTTAAGTCTTTGACAAACTCAAGAAAATTTCTAGTAGTTACCTTCTCTTCACATATCCATTTTATATAATTCTATGTTTGTTCTCGTACTAAGAAGCCAGCATGTTGGACTTCTTCACCATGATCCATCTATCTCTTAAACTTTTTTCTGTATCTTTTTCTTTTTTGATTTTATGTTTCTTGTTCTTGTTTCTTGTGTGCTTTGAGTTGAGTAATTACTGATAATCTATTTCTAATTCACTAATTCTCTAGTCTGTTATATCTGCTGTTAAAATGCATCAACCTATTAAATTCTTAATTTTAATTACTTTTTTTTTAGTTCTGGGATAGCCTTTTTATTGTGTTTTATAGATACCAGTTGTCTGGCTAAATTATAATTTTATCTTAAATATATTCATCATAACTAATAAGTCTATATCTAATCATTCTAATCTATTCCCTATTATCTATATTTTCTCTTCATCTTTAGTCATACAGTCTTGTTTCCTATTGTATCTAATGAATTTTGAATGAATGCTGGATATGTTTTATAAGAAATTTAATGACTTAAATGATGCAACGTTGTCTTTCTTCAGGTAGTTTTGGCATAAAAGTTTGATC